CACAAGCACTTCTGTTTGCAAACAATTTGGTTCACAAACAAAAGCATTCTGCAAAATTTTGTTTCCATTCACAAATTCTACATTGGGTGACAAATACGACCACAGTCATCTTCCCCACACAAACACCAGCGCAACCATCTTCCCCCAAATCATAAAACAAATTGAGTTCACAAACCTAGATACCACTGTATAAGTAATTTGTAAAAGAGAGTCATCCAATGCCAGGACTGAAGTAGCTCTGAATACCCAAACATCTTTATGTGGGCCAGTTCCAACAAAATTGTTTAATGTAATCTGTTTTTCTAATTTTTTTTTACTTTAAAGGGAATAAGAAAAAAATATCAAATTAACAACAACATAGACAAAAACAAAACAACACAAAAACGATAAAAATGATACAGGGTTTCAAAACAAAATGATAGGAATTAACAGTGGTTGTTATATTACACATTGATATCTTCAACAAAGTGGCTCAGATTACCAGATGTAAGAATGCAAGATTGATCAGGTCAATAAAGAGAATGAAAAATAACATTAAAAAAACTTTAGAAACAATACAAAGCTTCACTAAACAAGATGGTAGGAATTCACCAATGGTTGTTATATTGCATATTGTTGTCTTCAGATTAGTTGTTCAGATTACCAGATATAAGCATGCAAAAAATTTAAGCATTAACTGCTCCTTTCAATAAACCAATAGGCATTAGCAGTTTAATTATCACAGCTGTCCATACATATATTCCCTTCCTTCTTTCTTCCTTTCTTTTTCTCTTTCTTTTCTCTTTATTCCTTCTTCTCTCTTTCTTTTTCTCTTTTCCCTCATCCCAGTTTTTCCCTCCCTTTGAGCAATTTCTTTACCCTTCTCAGTATCTGTTGCACTTTTTGGGTTTTATTTACTCTTTCAGGTTCTTACACTAGGGAGACCATATGATGTTTACACATATGGGTCTGATTTATTTTACTTATGAGTATGGTCTCTAATTGCATCCATTTACCTATAAAAGCCTCAAGTTTATCTTTTTTATAGCTGAGTAATACTCCATTGTATAAAAATAGCATATCTTTTTTATCCATTCCTCGGTTGATGGGCATTTGGGTTGTTTCCAAGATTTAGCTATGACAAATTGTGCTGCTATAAACATGGGTGCACTTATATCACTGTGTATGATGTTTTTAATTCTTCTGGGAAAATACCTAAAAGAGGAATAGTTGGATTAAGTGGGACTTCTAATCCTAGTTTTGTGAGGAATCTCCACACTGATTTCCACAGTGGTTTCACCAATCAACACACCCACCAGCAGTGGAGAAGTGTTTCTTTTTCCCCACAGCCCCACCAGTATTTGTTATTGGTTGATTTCTTGATGATAGCATTCTTTCTGGGGTGAGATGGACTCTCGGTGTTGTTTTAATTTGCATTTCTTAAATGACCAATGATGTTGAACATTTTTTCATATATTTATTTGCCAATTCTATTTCTTCATCTGAGAAGTGTGTATTCATTGTAATCTGTGTTTAAAATACCTATCTCTTAGGGGCTGGGGATTTAGCTCAGCAGCACAGCACCTGCCTGGCAAGTGCAAGGTCATGAGTGCAGTTCCCGGTACTGGAAAAAAAAACAAAAAACAAAACAAAAGAAGTGTGGTTTTAAAATACCTATCTCTTGATTTCACTTTAGATTTGCTGAGTTCAATTGCCTGGACATAGGATTTTGTATTAGCTTTTTGTTCCTGGGACCAAATACCTGAAATATACAACTTAAAGAAGAGATTTGTTTTCACTTATGGTTTCAGATGATTCAGTGCATGGTCACCTGGCTGGGCAGAAGCATCATAGTGAAAGGACACAGTGGAGCAAAGCTGCTCAGTTCCTGGTATCCAGGAAAGAGAGCATGGGAACAATGTTTCTGTCTGTATATTTGAGATTTAGAAGCCTTTTAAGGTTGTCTGGGGACATCCTCCACTATCCTGACCACCACGAAGTTTTCTTCCATCCTTCAAGGTCCAGATTAACTCTTGGTTCTTCTAGGAAGCTTTCCCTGATCACTCTATCCAAAGGTATGTATTGTATATTCTGACTTTATGATTCATTTGGCTTTTATCTAATTCCCCCTTGGTATATAATCTTTATATTTGCATGTCTGGACTCTATACATAAGGATGTTGTTGAAATAGATTTTATCTCACTTGCCAGTTCTCAGTTCTGTCTGTCTAGAGTGCTATTGTGAGAATTCTGTGGTTGTATCTGGGCTCACTGGTTAAGAGCACAGGGATCGAGCAGCAAGGTCTGCAATGAGTACGGCTGGTAAAAAATGAAAATGCATGGAATATGTTTGCCCTCTGTGCTATCCATGGTAAGTTACTTAAAGACAAGATTTATAGTCTGCACTTACATTCCCATGAACATTCCCAAGCACATAGAGTACATGCTCAAAAATTATCCCATGATTAAATGTCTCCCCTTGAAAACAATGACTTAACATAATTAATTATATTCTAATGCAAGGTATGATCACAAAATACTATGAAGGTTTAAATTAAAAATCTATTACAATAAAAGACACACTGCAATTAATTCCCCCTCAAAAGACTCACCCTCACTTCAAATATATGTATACCATCCTTCTCCCTACTTTCCAAAGCAGTTCTGGAAGTCCTCTTTCATGAGTATCCTTAGTTGAGCTTTGTGGCTGCCCTGATGTCCTGAATTGATTAAAAAAGTTTAGCCCTCATGGTCATTTTGAATTTGAGAAAGAGCCAGAAGTCACACACTGCCCTATTCTGTGAATAAAGGTAGGACGAGGACACATCATGTTTTCACCAGCCAGTGGCTCACACTCAGCAGCAGCATTCACTATATTTTTTAATCACATCTCAAAGACACTCACAGAAAAAGGGATTTCCAGAACTGCCTCAGAAAGTGACAAGAACAATGGGATAAGTGTGTTGGAAGCAAAGGAGAGATTTTTGAGGAAAATTAATAGTAATATGTCTTTTACTGTAATCAATTTTTAAAGTTTAGACTTTCACCATACTTTTTGATCACACCTTCTGTAGAGAGCTGACTTCCATCAGAAATCTCTCAAAGCTAGATTTTATAGATGAGATAGCTTTTGACACATCAGCCCCCTAATGTATTTGAATCTTAAAATATTAATACTTTAATATCTCCTTGTATCTGTGCAATTAGGTGTTAATGATTTTCTAAGTTTTTGCATCTAGCATCTTATTTGATTATTATATGGCCTTCATGAGATAAAATACTATTTCCATTCTACAAATTTGAAACCACTTGTTTTAAGGTTTGCTTTGGTTTGGTTTTTTGTTTCAGGATTTGGCTGGTTGCTTGGCTTGGTTTGGCTTGGCTTTGGCTTTATTTTTTTGAGACATAGTCTTGTTATATAGCCCATGCTGGCTTCAAACTCATGACCATCCCTCTTGCTTCAGCCTACTGAGTGCTGCAGAGTAGTGCGTGATTAGCCCAGACCAGGGTCAGTAACACCCAAACATTTACCAACCTCCCCTGAAACAAAGCAAGCACTTAAATTCTAGCACTAGTGTTTCCCAGAGGTTTTTTCTACAAACCAATGGGATGTTAGTAGATCTACTACATGTGTTTTTGTGATCAAACAAATGTCAAATGGTAAAATTATAATGAATTTAGCTTAAATGGTTTATCATTGAGATTCCAGAATCAGCAAATACTTAATTCTATGAAGTAGAGTGTCCCAATGAGCCAAGCAAGAACAGGCTAGTTGTGTAATCAGAGATGAAGTAAAGGAAGCAGAAATAAAGAACACCGAACAGGTTGGTCATTTCAAAGCTACTTTCCTCATAAAGTGGTAGTGCGGAAACAAGCTAAAGGAAAACAACTGATTGATTAACATTGAGTTACTTTAGGTAATACTTTAGGTTATACTTTGGTTAAGGATTAAGACAGAGAAATTGTCATGCAAATGGACGCTGATCTGTTGGGATTTGGCTATTAGCTCTCATTCTCCTGAGATCTTAGAAAGTCAAATAAGCAGCTTAGCTTTGGCTGGTGTCTTGGTTACTTTTCTCTCTTTGCTGGGACAAAATACCTGATGCCCAGAATTAATGAAGGAAAGGTTTATTTCACTTACAGTTCATGGAGGTTTCAGTCCATACTTGGCAGATTATAAGGCAGAGTGGCACATGGCAGAGAGCTACAGCTCATGGCGGCAGACAACAGCAAAAGCCACAACCACACACCAGGAAGGAATGGGGAAGGAATCGCCTCAAGCACCCTTTTCCTCTCCCTTACATATGCAAACTATCCACCCCAGGGCGGGTGCAGCTCTCACACCCCTAATCAATCAAACTTTAAAAGCCTGCCCCATGGCCAAATGAGGCTTTGGGGGGACACACAGACAAACCATAACATCTGGGTACAAGGAACTTAGTGTGAATGACTCCATTTTTGTTTGGGTTGTTGGGCCATGTGCAGAAGCTTAGTCCATACCAATGGCCTCCTATAAATTTTATTTAACACAAATTATCAATAGATTTCCCTTCAGTAGGACTTCTCGAGCTTTTATGACACGAATGCCCTTAACAAACTGTGTAGAGGTTCCTGGATGTGACATAACATCCACTTATTTGAACCCAAAACCCCTGTGAAAAGAAGCATCAGTGTTGTACAATTTTTTGAAAGTGTTTCTGTAGGCCAGTGGTGGCAAACCTATGGCATGTGGCATGCAAGCCAAGTGTATGACTTGTTTTTTCTAAACTACAACCTCAGTATTCAGGTTTAATTGCAGTGTTGACACTGCAATAAATAAATGTGGGCAGTGTGTAGACATCAACGAAATGGAGTCATTTATTCATTCATCATTTATTAATGCCTACCATGTGCCAGGCCCTGGAGTTTCGGGCTTATGAATCAGGTGCTTATTCTACAGCAGTCATTGGTTTGGAGTTTGTGTTGGCACTCAGCCTCTAAAAGGTTCGCCATCACTGCTCCAGGCTTATCAAATGTCTGACCTTAGTTTTATCTAAACTTCTCAGCAGAGTAGTTGAAAACTTGGGCTCTGGAAACCAACTGGATTCACGGTCTGCCTCCAGTACTTCTGGCCATGTGGATGAGCAGATGGCAGTGAGTTCCCAGCCTTGCTCTCTCGCCTGTAAAGCTCCCAGCGGACCCTCTCCCACAGTTGTCACAAGGGCTGGGTGAAACAAGGACAGTAGAGTGCCTCGCTCAGAGTAAACAGTAAATGGGAGCTGATATTTCTGCCAGTGAAGAAGAAAGTCAGAGTGAGAAAGTGAGTAGAGATTTATTGACGACTGCTCTTCGGGTCCACACCTGTGGGAGGAAAGGGACAGAAGAAACAGCAAGTAGAAGTGCGATGAAGCCCGATGGAAGACAACCCTCAAAAAACCTAGAGCCAGAGTAGCAATTCTAACACTGCAGGACCGTCCCTGGACACAGTGAGAAGGTCAGCTCTACACAGATCAGTGTGGGGACCACAAATTGTAAATTAACGTAGTATGTCCTAGGCTCTTCTCACCCTGCCTGCTTTGTGGACTGGCTTTGGAATACAAAATCACCTGCCTCTGTCAGTCAGTGAGATTAACACCCAAACGTGGGGCTAGATCTGGCTTGTTCCCTGTATGATGTTAAATCTGCCCATTCTACTACTGCTTCTATGCTGTTCCAAAGAAGGCACTCTACCCTCTTCCCTACATTGGCTAATAAATAGTGGCTAGCTCAGACTGTCTTTGTCTCTGCCCATCCTGAGGCATGGACCTCCAAGCCCCTTCGTGTATTAAGAAATTTGTCTGTTTCTTATTTCATCCTTTTGCCATACCCCTCATAGAGGCAGTTAAAAATCTTGGCCAGCTCCCCAATAGATCAGGGAAGGCTGACCTTGGATAAGGCAACTCGCCTTAGCTCAGGCAGCCCCTCGAGAGGCCACCAGTTCTCATAGCAACCAGGACAAGAAGCTCCTCATCCAAGGTGGGCAGGGGTCTTAGCAATGCACACATGTCACCCACACAGCATCCACCATGAAAAAAACAAAAGCTCAAAAGATAAAACAAAGCAAAAGCTTCCCCTTGCCTTTTGGGAAGGAAATAGGGCAGTGTGCAGATATCAACCAAATGGAGTCATTTATTCATTCATCATTTATTAATGCCTACCATGTGCCAGGCCCTGGGGTTTAGGGCTTATGAATCAGGTGCTGATCCTATAGCAACCATCATAATAATATTTTCTCTGTACTACTTTTTAAGGCATGGAATTAAAGATAATGGAAACAGAGAAGGAAGAGATACCAAATCTCTTGAAGCCAGGATATATTCTCAGGTGATCAGTCACTTGTCAGCCCACTGTGAAAAGGTGTTAATTTGAATGAAGAAAAGGACACAGTAATTTTTTTTTTCCCACAGCAATATATCAAGCTGTTCTCCTGTGACTTAGCATGCTTGGCAAACTGTGTGTGCTGCACAAAATTGAATTCCCAGGTTTAGGGAAGCCTGGGCAGGCTCGAGGTACACAAGGATTTATTGCTTTAAGTACTTAAAATGCTTGCCACTAAATTTGTGGTGACCTTCTCCCCTTGCCTGTGGCCCCAAGTTAACCACAGCCCGGGCTGAGCAAAGGTTAACAACACATGAAATAAAACAAAAGCAACCCCAAGGAGAAAGGCCCCCGCCTCATGGAGGCTTGGCTGCCTTCCAGGAATGACAATGTTCCTCTCTCCCTAGGAGTGGTTTCAGTCTTCAGTGCCCACCCGCCACCCCAGATTCTTCTCATCTTCTCTCTTGCATATTTTGGCCAATAGTCATTCAAGTATCATCCTCCTTTACCGTAAAGTAACGCGCTTTCCCTACCAATCCTCCTATCTGTTTGTGCTGATATTCAGGACACACCACTCCATATGACTATAGGAGATTGGAACATTCCATTCCAAAATATCCCTCTGTGACAGAAAGTGTATTTTGAGCTGATTTAGACTTTGGATCTATAATTTCCCCCAAAAGGCTCATTCCCCAGTTGGTGGTATTACTGGGAAGTGGTAGAAGCTTTAGGAGGTAATCTCTTGTCTGAAGAAATAGGTCACTAGGGGTGTGCCTTTGAAGGTTATTTGGGGATCCTGGCCACTTCTCCCTCTCTGCTTCCAGCCACCATGAAGTGTGTGACTTTGCTCTGCTATGCCCTTCTGCCAGATGTTCTGCCTTACCGCAGGCCTGTAAACAGTGGTGCCAAGCAACCATGTACTGAACATTCTGAAACCATGAGTTCAGAAGAAACCTTTCTTCCATCAGGTTGTTTTACTCAGGTATGTTGTCACCGCAGTAGAAAACTAACACCAGCACATAATTTTGGGTAAAATCAGACACAGATGCAGCTCTGCAAGTAAGAGCAGAGGTTGCCCTTTTGTAAGGAAAATTGCCATCTATAAAGAAATTTCATTTAGAAGAATATCTTCCTCTCTGCGCCATGAAGAAAGAGATGATTAGATCACTGGAGATCCAGTCAGTTGATAAGTGATGAACTAAAACTTGCATGACAAATTTTACCCTTGTTACAGTGCTTTTCCTGGCTACCTCCCCATAACCTTGCCTTTCACTACACTCTTCTGTTCTTGTTTGAGATGTACTCTTGACATTGTTTTTTACTATTTGAGAGTCCCCTGAATACAGTAGTCTCCACTTACACAGAGTTCCGCTTTCCATGATTTCAGATGCATGCAGCCAACCACAGTACATGAATATTAAATGGGAGGTTCCAGAAATGAACAGTTTTAAATTGTGCACCTTTCTGAGCAATGTGACAAAATCATATCATACCATCCCAGGACATGAAACCTCCTCTGCACCCAGTGTACTCCCTATTGTACTTGCTACCGACCCATTAGTCACTTATTTGCCCTCTCACTGGTCTATTCAGCTGTTGTGTTCTAGTAAGCATTTGTGTTTTAGTAACCCTTAATTTACTTAATAATGGCCCCAAAGCACAAGAGTAGAGTTGCCTGCAATTCAAAAATGCCAGAGAGAAGAATTAGAGTGCTTCCTTTCAGCAAAAAGGTAAAAATTCTCTACTTAATGAGGAAAGAAAAAATTTCACATGCCAAGGTAATTAAGATCTATGAGAAGAATGAATCTTTCATCCATGAAATCGTGAAGAAGGGAAAAGAAATGCGTGCTTTCAATTTGCTGTCATACCTCAAACTGCTAAAGGTACAGCCACCACTTAGGGCAGGGTTTAGTTAAGATGGCAAAGCCTTAAAGTTGTGGCCAGAAGCCATGACCCAAAAACATGTTCCAGCTGGTAGGAACAGGCTGTGCCAGAAAGTACCAAGTCCATGCAAAGACTTCTGCCAGGATCTCTTGAAACAGGTGACTGTAAGCCATTTACTTACCTGTTATTAGGGGCTGGGGATTTAGCTCAGCGGCAAAAGCGCCTGCCTGGCAAGCGCAAGGTCGTGAGTTCGGTTCCCGGTACCAGAGGAAAAAAAAAAAAAAGTGCTCGCTTCGGCAGCACATATACTTACCTGTTATTACCATGTCCTGTTATGACTGTTCTCTTTATTATAATTGCTACTAATCCCTTACTGTGCTTAGTTTATAAAATAAACTTTATCACTGGTATGAAAGCACAGAAAACATAGCACTGTGTATCAAGGGTTTGGTACTATTCATGGTTTCAGGCACCCACTGGGTTCTGGTAACATATCCCGAGAGAACTGAGCTGAGGGTATAAGGCTCATATCACCACCTCTCCTATGCCCAGAGGAGGTGAGCATATTATGAGACTTCCATTTTATCTCTTGTTAACCTGCCTGTTGTTACAGGGTGTCCCAGCTAAGAATGACAAAGAGTAGAGAGAAAATTGTTTTCCCCTTCTATGAGAACCTGTCAAGAAGCCAGTAAGCTCCTCTGCACATAATAAGTCACATTAACACGGCACACTCAATCTACAGCCTGTTTGAGTGCGTCACAACTGGCTGAAAGGCAGGCACCACAGAAATGGTCACTCTCTTTCCAGAGCTGAGGGTAATGAGGCTCAGAAAGGTGATATGATTTGTCCTAGGTCACAGAACAAAAAGGCAGAACTTTCGCAAAGTGCTCTGTGCCACAAATTAGACCACTCACTGTCTTTCCATCACAGGAGCCAGGCCAAGCATTGGCAGCGTACCTGATCCTTCACAGGATAATTGGTGACAGCCGCAGACTGGTGGCTTACCTAGGAATACACAGCGAGAAGGCCCAGCCCCCAGAGGAGGCCACATCTGTATGTAACGAAGAGGTTAAAATGGATCTTTTCTTTACATTGATTTTTCCTTTTTACAGATAAGCTGCTTCTCCAGCTTCCTCATGCTGAGAGGGTAAGCCCACCATCCGCTCCTCTCCCCAGTTCAGATGAATGGACTGACAGAGAAGTAACATGTCTGTTAGAAAATTAGCTTATCTGTCTGAAAAGAACATACAGGCGCTCTGGGAGGCAGAAGCAGGAGCATCACAAGTTCAAGCTCAGCCTGGGAAATTTAGAGACTTCGATTCTGTCTCAAAATAAAGAAAGTGCTAAAGTGTGGTTCAGAGTGAGGACCCTGGGTTCAATTTACAGCACTTTAAAAAAAAAAAAGATGGCGGCCCCAGGAGGTTGAGGTCTTATTTCATTTGGACAAGAGAGGATGGGGGCTGAGGATGGCCAGGAGATGAATCAGCAAGGACGTTCTCTTGTCCACTGTCTCTCTGTTCTCTCTCCGCTCTTCCTCACAATAAAAGCTCTTTAATAACTGAATGGGGTAGGGGGACAGAAATCCAAAGCAACAAAGAGGCTTCCCAGTCTCCTTCAGAGCTAGCCTTGAACAAACCTTTTTCCTTTCACCAAAAAAAATCTGTCAAGGTTTTTTTAATTAATTTTGTTGGTACATTTTAGATCTACATTATGATAGCATTTTTCATAGGGAATTTGTACCTATACATGATAATATCTTGATTTTCCTCTTTTTCCCCTTTCCCTCATCTCACTTCAACCCCTCCTCTCTTCCTTATTTACAGAGGCTTTTTTCCATTTCTTCCTTGTGTTGTCTTTTTTTCCCTTTTCCTTTCTATCTTTCCTTCTCCCCTCTCCCTATTTCCCCTTTTCCTTTGAACATTTTCTTGCTATTTCAAAGTATCTATTATACATTTTGGTCCTTATTTAAATATTGGTTTCTTACACCAGAGAAACCATGTAATATTTGAA